AGGATCACGTTTCGACCGACCTCTTACACGAGATACTTGCAAAACATCTCACGTCTTACCTTTAGAAGAAGTTTCCGGCCAGTGGAGAACCTCCCGAACAATCCTTCTTCATAAGAAGGGCGATAAGGATGATTTTCTACTACCGTCCAGTATGCCTGCTGAGCGTGCTTTACAAGCTCTTCACGATAATTATTCTCGCTCGCATGTCAAGAACACTGGATGAAGCCCAACCTGCAGAACAAGCTAGAATTCGCAGGGGATTCAGTAGCGTGGATCACATCCAAACAGTTTCGAGAATTATCGAGGCCAGCCGAGCGTACCGCCTATCCTTCGTCATAACCTTCGTCGATTATGAGAAAGCTTTGACAGCGTCGAGACTAATGCCATAGTGTCAGCGCTCGTCGACCAAGGAGTGGGCCATACGTGAGGACATTGGCCGACCGTTACAGGAATTGCTCTACAACGGTACAGCTTTTCCATCATCCCCTCAACATACCAATCTCGAAGGGGATTCGACAATGCGACACCATGTCGCCAAAAATGTTTACGGCCGCGCATGCAGTGGGTGATGAAATCACCGGATTGGAAGGAAAAGGGTATACGAGTTGATGGGAGATTCCTCTCAAAACTTTGTTTTGCGGACGACAATGTTACATTCTCGAGGAATATCGCTGAAGCGGAGACGATGTTGAAAGAACTAAACGAAGTAGGAAAGCGGATAGGACTGCGAATTAATTGGAAGAAGACTCAATTCATGAAAAACCCTTTTTTCGAAAATCAGGAAATGGAAAAGCTCACCAATCGCAGAGATGTCATCCAAGTACATCTCGAACGTCGATGAATAAGGGAACGATCTGAAAAAGGAACCAAGAGGCAAAGAGCAGCTTGAGGTGCCTGCGGCTCCTAAAGAAAGCCACAGACCAACTGATGGACCCACAGTCCCGAGCCCACCTGTTCAATTCAACCGTTCTATCGCTCTGTTACGCAGCGGGCACGTGGCCTCACTGGTCGAAGACTTCGATTAACCACAGAGCGCTGAAACGACGTCTTCTGAAGTAAAACCGACGCACTCAACATCCCGTCGGACTTCGCATTTAGATATGAGATCAATGTCTCGTCTTCGCGATCCAGCGGAATATGTCTCTAAGGCAAAACATCGTTGGGCTGGTCATATACTGGAAAGGACACTAAGAATCTGGAATGGATTTCCCGCGAAGCAAAACGTCCTTGAGGGAGGCCACCTCCAGATGGGCTGACGTGTTCGTTGCACGGATGGACCAGCTGCATTTCCAGCTGTAACGAGTAATGGATCTGGACCTCGCGAACGCCGCCGCTGCAGTTCACACCAACACCGTGAGTGACGCTAACGAGGGAAAGAAACGGATGGAAACAACATGGGGGCCTGCACGACAGGACAGGCCATCGAAGTATCTAGGTATCTGAGTATCAAATAATGATGGGACTCTCTGACTAAGTTATTTCCAGAAATCAGTTACATCATTCGCCTTGGTAAGCGAGAAAATCGCTTTAGGTCAGCCCGCCCCTTTTAGGCCACTCCGCCCAATAGTGATTCCTCCTCAGTACTGCCCGTGTTCGGCTTCTGCGCCATTTAGCGAGAAGCATATGATTGTGTTGGGGCCAGAGAAAGATATCAATCCAATGAGGGCAACCGATATTTGTTTTTTGACTGTTTCAAGGTAGTTGACGTTGCCGGTTTAACACATCGAAATGGTCCGAAAAAGTTGGGGAAACAAAAATCTGCCCGGACACTGCCTTTGAGGCGGCGTCCGTAACACGACGCTTCCATAGTGATGTTATTAGACGTCCTAACTTCTTCCATACTATTTTTAAGCTCTCTTTCTATGTATAGGACGACTCCAGACTTCAAAAGATATGACTTCTCTTCAGCATCGCTGTATCTCCCTCCAAACAACCTCGCAATCTTAACCATAATCTCTCAAGATCCGTAGACAGTTTCTCATCCTCACATTTCCCAAGATAAACGTGAGCAGGTGATTTTTTGGGCATGAAATATCACTAATTGTGATTGGAAGTGGGAGTTTTTGAGCTTCTACAAGTTCTTCATTACAAATTAGATTCTATACCATCTATTGGAATCAAGATATACTGGAAGGGTTTTCTTCGACTTAATATGAAATGTATTCTATTTTTAAGGTTGCCTGTAAAAAGATAACTACAATTAT